ATGTTTACAGTTTAATTGTAAACATAACCCCTCATTAGACATCCACTATTCAGTCACATGTTTACAGTTCGATTGTAAACATAATCCTACATTAGGCATCCACTATTCAGTCACATGTTTACAGTTCGATTGTAAACATAATCCTACATCAGGTATTCACTATTCAGTCACATGTTTACAGTTTAATTGTAAACATAATCCTACATTAGGCATCCACTATTCAGTCACATGTTTACAGTTTAATTGTAAACATAATCCTACATTCGGCATCCACTATTCAGTCACATGTTTACAGTTTAATTGTAAACATAATCCTACATCAGGTATTCACTATTCAGTCACATGTTTACAGTTTAATTGTAAACATAACCCCTCATTAGGCATCCACTATTCAGTCACATGTTTACAGTTTAATTGTAAACATAATCCTACATTAGGTATCCACTATTCAGTCACATGTTTACAGTTTAATTGTAAACATAATCCTACATTAGGCATCCACTATTCAGTCACATGTTTACAGTTTAATTGTAAACATAATCCTACATTAGGTATTCATTATTCAGTCACATGGTGTAGGATTATGTTTACAATTAAACTGTAAATTAGGTATCCACTATTCAGTCACATGTTTACAGTTTAATTGTAAACATAATCCTACATTAGGTTTCTGAATCTTTATAACTGTAACCTCAAATACCAAATCCGTTTTCTTAAATTCATCTTTCTAGGACCAATCAAGTAACTTGTCAGTTCACTGAACATCTAGAGTAAATGAATCAAATCACTTCCTCAGTTTCTTGACAACTCAAAGAGAACCAGTTGAAGTGTATACAGTTAGAATTGTAACTCATAAAGTAGAGAATATATTTAGTAAATAAATAAATAATGTTTATATTTCAAGAAGCCTAAAATTTTCTAAACTTGAGTCACAACAAGCATATTATATAAAATAACAGCTTTAACGTTTGAATATATCCAAATACATTATTTTTACTTTTTACTACAGCTAAACACTCAGCAAAAGACTCAGTATTTTGAAAAATAGTGTAGCTTATTCACAGAAATAATTATTCTTTGGTAGCTTATTTGTAATTGTTTTGCAAGTTTTACGAAAACTTTATTTATACTCAAAAACTAAGTAACATTTAAACGACAGATAATAATGGTTTCTAATCTTCAACTTAGTTGCTGGTGTTCAAGCCAGTCATTATATTGAAAGAGGAGAATTGGTTCCCGATGATCTTGTTGTACAGTTGGTTCTTGCAGAATTACGTTCCCATCTGAAGGGTGATAACTGGTTATTAGATGGTATGTTTGTAACGTAATAATAATAATAACGTAACATAATAATATCTACAATTGCAAAAGAATTGAGTTAAAACATATTTTAAAACACTTTCTTAGAATTGGTCATTTAGAATATTATAACACAGTGTTTTTTATTCTTTGTAACGACATTCTGTTGAAGCCTGTTCATCAATCTGTTAATGTATGAATTGATCACATAACTCAGCAGTAAACTTGGAATAATTAACTGAAATTCATCTGGTATATATCACCAAAATAATGTGAAACATCTAAAGGGATTCATACACAAAAAACATTCAAAGGTCAGACAAGTGTATAAATAAAACATATCTTTTAGCTAAATGTGTATAGAAAGCATGTCTTTAGATAAATGTGAATATATAGTAGCACTAGCTGTGAACAAGAACTTCTACAATGTTTGTACTGATGAACATGTTTACAGTGTGAATATATAGTAGCACTAGCTGTGAACAAGAACTTCTACAATGTTTGTACTGATGAACATGTTTACAGTGTGAATATATAGTAGCACTAGCTGTGAACAAGAACTTCTAC